AGTTTGATTGATTAATTGAATTTTTGTCATTTTTAATTTTCAGATTGTGGTCTCCAAATCCTCAGTCACTCAGTAAATTTAGACGTTCTAATGGAATGACGACGGCGAAGAATTGTGTGTGTGTGTGTGTGTGTGTGAATGATGAAAAATATTTGTGATGCTATGAATGTATTTGTTGAAATAAATATTTCCGAAAAGTCTGCATGCCATTCATACATTAATAATGCTTATTGTTTGTCGAGGTGAATAGTGGTGACATTCTATTTGTTGTTAGAGACAATACTTTCCACACAGTTCAATGCTGCGTTAACAACAGAATACTATGTATATTTGAACATTGTATTTCATGTGGCTTAATGTAAACTGAAATCACACGCCCAGCGATTGGTTAACGGATGTATATGTATAGATATGTACTTATTTATATGTATTTACGTAAATAGCAGTTTGATTAGTGAAAAATATAACTTGGCTTCCATGTCTTCGCTTCTACTGTTATAATGCAAATAATGCTTTTCAGTAATTGCTTCCGCTGGTAGACTGTAAACAGACGACATGCACAGCAAAAGCCCATGCAACAAGTTATAGTGTTTTACGACAACAAAATAATCACTGAAGTCGAGTGACGTGTTCAAGTAATACATGAGTGTAAGTGGTGATATGAACAATTGAGGGGCTACTGATACGAACCGATAATACAAGAATAGTGATGTAGTTGTCTTCCTAATACCTAATGATATCCTCAAAAATAGTGCTTTTATACGGAACATAAGAATAAGAGACTACTTGTGACAAATAGGATATACATTAGTTAGTGTGCTTGGAGTGTCTAGGCTACGAATACAAGTTGTGTACGTATGAGGCCTACTTTTGCTGAGTAATATTTCAGTATTCGATTTAGAAAAGCACACTTTCGACGGCTATTTCCTCCTCCTTAATACTAGTGAACACTAATAATATACGCGACCGGGGTAAATGTGACTGAGATATTTCACGCAAGGCTTGATGGCGCATTGAGGAAATAATAACAGCCTAAGGTATGTGTGAAACGTGGGCACTGTGGTAGTATGTAATTCCATATTCATTTGTTTATTAGATATATCACACAGTGAAACAGGGGTACTTACTGGATGACGTTTCGAACACGATATATTGTTCCTAATCATACCATGAATTATGATCACACGACTTGGAGACTTGAGTTTGTAGTTTTGTTTATTCTTCCCCAATTGTCGTAGGGGTGATAGTCGAATTTTTCAGATGTCTGGGACAGGTGTTTAACCATTTCTCTCACACGCGTTCGCAGTTGATTCGATAAATGAAGCTTCCGTTATCAATGTCTCCCTCCACCCAGCTGTTACACTAGATTTCGAGACAGTCATCTTACTCCATCCTGTTGTGTGGTTGTGTGCAATTGCATGTGGTGAGTGCTCTAGCTGCTGAGTTATACTCCAGATTTCTTATCTTATTGGGGTCAACTAATCTAGATTTTGGCAGGATTGTGTGCTCCGCTAGTCTGACTGACTGACCGACTGATCCCGTCCTACTACTTCGCCCTATGTATTTGATCTGACAATCATTGCAGGGTATCAGATGAACTGGAATCTTCTGTTTCATTGGCTCCACGGTATCCTTTAATCGACGAATCTTATTTCTAATTGAGCTTGTGGGTTTGAATGTCAACCACTCTTATTCTTGCATTGTTAGGAATTCTCCGTAAGGCTTCCGAGGTTCCTTCTCTGTATGGAAGTACTACTGATGATTTGTATTGTATTTGTGTTCTTGGTGTTGTCATTATCCTGTGCATGTTTGAAATGCATTTCGTCGTGAATACTATTGTGGTTCCGCTTCTTCTTCGTCTTCTTCTTAAAACTATCACAGTCATTATTATTATTATTATCAGCATCACTACTATTATTATTATTATTTATTTTACTTTTACGTTTTCCTCCACACTTCCTGATTGATTTGTCAGGGTAATTGTCAAGTTTCAAAGCGTCTCTTATGTGCCTCACTTCCTGTCTTAGATTTTCCTTGATACTGCTTAGTTCTTGTGTCCTATTGGTCAAACACTCCACGAATCCTATTTCCAGTGACATAGTGTCGGATGATCGGAACCCCAATTATCGGTTTCAATGTCAATATATGTATACATGTACAGATATATACATGAATGTATATATATATATATATATATATATTCAAATGAATATATGCAATTAACTGTCGGTGGAGTAGTCTCCATCTGAGAACTATGAGATCAGCCGTCTTAAGTCAACTGCGATGGATAAAACAAAGTTGGTTATGAATCTGCGAACACATGTGTTGATCCCCACAGAAATAAGTGTATTAGGAATGCGACTAAATTTCAATGTACTGGTAGACAAGCTGAAACCTGAGGATGTCATCCGTAAAATAGAAATAGCACTATGTGGGATAGACGAAACACCGGCCGATGAAGTGCGAGCACAATGTGCACTGACATTAAAACAACAAGAAAGAGGAAAGCCTAACCTGACGAAACCAGAGATAGGAGCCCTAAAACACCTCAAGAATAAGAAGGACACATTAATCACTAAATGAGACAGAGCAAATGACACAGTAGTATCAGACAAATCAGACTATTTGGGTAAGGTGAATACTCACATACAAACAGCACCGTATTAGGCAGTTAACGAATCAAGAGACACCGTCGTGAATAAGGTTAAGAAATCAGCAGCGGACTTCATACGCGAAATGAAGCCGTTTCTAGGTGAGTCTAAAGGGTTTAATTTAGTGCTGAAAACTAATAACCCCAGTAGGATGTGTGGTGTTGTCAAAGTTCATAACTCAGGATACCCGATTAGAACTATAGCTGACTTTAGAGATACACCTACTTATGAATCGTCTAAATATTTGACCGCGGTATTAAATCCTCTTAGAAGCCACTCAAAATGTAGACTGACAAATTCTTATGAACTAGATTAGCATAGATTAGATGCTCGCTAGTGACTTGCTACAGGATGGAGTTTCCTGGAGTTCTAGTGAGAAGTCGTGACCAGTGAGGTCCAACCAGATGTCACATGTGAGGATGGATTTCCCATCTACGACAATGGTTGGGGTCGCGCTAAATCACGAATTGGTAGAAGTTAGAATTCATGCACTGGCCATTGAATCGGATCCGACTGGCTAAACGGTATACGAGCTTGCCTTGTAACCGTAAGGTCCTGAGTTCCAACTCTAGTGAGTGCGTACTAACGACGATTTCCGAATCAGTGTGTAACAGCTATCCACTACTCGCAGGTTTTCAATGGTTCTCTAACTGATGTCAATTTGTGGTCAAACTCGCAGGAACATGTCTAATCCTCACAAACCAACTCATTTTGATTAAACAGATGATGTTTCAAGATAAATACAAACATTAGTCACCATGCATGTAAGACGTCAGGGTATACAAGGAAATTAGAACCTAGTGAGCAGCTAGATATTTCGTGGCCTGGCTAACTGATTTCTGGGTTAGCTAGTCCAGGGTTCCCAACCCTTCGAAGACTAGCTTATTTCTCCAGCTTCAGTAAGCATTCATTACATTGTATTATATTCCACTTTACAAAACGTCTATCGTTTACTTCATGAAAATCATATTAGCATAGCGTGCCTCCGGAACACTTACCAATGAAGATAACAACTTTCTAGCTAGAAATACTGAGTCTTTCTGTGGAAATATTTCGATTTTAAGATGACGAGCATATATCAGTAAAACTTTCAACAGATATGCAATGTCCAAGTATTAGTACATAGGGATTTGATTGGTTCCAAGTTCGATCACAGACTAGTGTCACTGAAAATCAGGGAGCACTGGACAGCTGTGTCGTCCTTCTTTGCAAGTCACCTATGATCACATTGGGGATGTAATCCAGGATCTTAAGGTTACGAGGTGAGATTGTCGGTCGTTAAGCCACTGGGACGAAATTCAATGGCTGGCCATGAATTCTAACTCCTGCTAAACTTGAAACAAATGGAATCCCTGCAAATGAAGCCTTGGAAATTAGTCTGATGCTTAATAGTGACCACTGGCTACAGGACGAAGTTTCCTGGAGATATGCACTCCAGAACAACACGGCTCTTTGAAAAGTCGATCATGCTCCACCTGCCTACTTGACTACTCTGCTGATGTTACTGCTAATCGTGATCATGGCTCGCTTGTCACAACTGTCTTCTTTGACTTCAAAATAGCCTTTGATAAAGTCCCAAACAAGAGACTAATTCTAAGTGAAACACGTCCGACCATCAGTTTTGCATGTTTGTATTTTGTTTGAACCTTCGCCTCCTTAATAAGTCATAGAAGTAAAACTTCTGACAATATTTTATTAACTTGTGTGTCTCCGTTAGCAAAAAGAATGTTGAGCCATTGCAAGTATGACAAAATTCTGCATACATTTACATTATCAACTTTTAAGTTGTAAGCGGCTGAAAAGAATCCGACGAAACGAATACTGACTTCATATAATAGTGTGCACAAATATTTGACTTTGCTTTGTTTAAATTCATAAGGGGAGAGAAATGTAAGTAGTTTTGCAATTAACAGTGTTCTCTGAGCTGGTTGGTTTAGTTGTGGAGCTTTTTGTGTGTTTAACCAAATAAAATGATTCTGTGATAGAATTAAACACCATTGAAACTGCTTTTCTAGACAATTTTGAATACTGTTGAGTTTGTATATGTGCTAAGTTACAAGTAATTAGAAACATGCACTCTGCTCATATTAAGGTTGACTTCAAAAAGCTATCGAAAGGAAGCTTAATCATGAAATTCCTGTGGTTGGTGAAACTGCTAATGATGAATTTGTTTCTTTAGCCATAAGTATAAGTGGCAATAATATATATTTCGTATGAACGGGTAAGCTTACATGAAATTCATGCCAGTTTTACAGGCACAACCAATTATCTTACAAATTGCAATTGTGAACTAGCATAGATTATCACTTTTTCAAAAGTTCAAATTGTTGAATTATAGTACAAGCAATCAGAACAGATTCTGATAAATGCTAGATTATAAACCCTTCACTAAGGTCACCATCGAAGTTGAGCGACAACCCAAACTTCGTTTCATTTCCTGATGATAGTTTTGGCCAATCGATAAACAACATATATTCGAGTGAGTGCTATGCCCCCACGTGACTGAACGCTATTTCAGGAAGAGATGAAAATCCTGCACACCTGCAAAATGCTATAAAATGCAATTATCAATAATACATTATTGGAAGTATATTTACAAGATAAATACAAATAGAAGCTATAGAGTACTTGAAATGATAGTACACATTTGCAATGTATGATGCTAACCATATTGGTCTTACCATGGAAAACTGTGACGTTTTCGAAAATGAAAATATAGTTATTCTCAGACATGGGTGTTGTTGTTATGTTTTCCCTTCATCAGAACAACCAGACTTCATGCAAGCGAAGAGTGTGAATGAAAAGAGTAAATTTCAGCTTTATTAAAGGCCTAGGGAGTTGAGATAAAATAGAGCATAATAGTTTTTCGATAGAAGGATTGTCGTGAAGTACCAGAGGACATTCTTAGCAGTTTTATCATCATACACATATGAACAAGTGAGTTACTACAAGAGACTAGGAAATTAAGTTTCCCTTAAGAGTTATGAAGTAAAGAAATGGCCAGTATCACAGCAACTAAGTTATATTCTATTTAGCAGAGTGATATGAGTAGTGGAACAATTGGTGATAATGTTATGTAAAGTGGTCCTGAGAAAAACAACTGGTCAGCAGAACTTGTTATGCTGAATTTTCATCACCGATTCTCGTATGGTGTGCGTTACACATTGCAAAGTGACTCATCAACTTATATAATGGAAAAAATACTACATAGCTCTTTAACACTATGAATTTTAGAAAATTACATGAAAATGGCTAACTGTTGACTGAAGGTAGTCATTTCAACTCAAAAATAGTACAGTGTATTGTATTAATAATATAAGTATAGATGAAATATATTAAAAGATATGGTTGCTAATACAATTGTTTTTGGAAATAATTATACTGACTCCACTTATTGAAGATTACAGTGAAGAGAAAATCAGTGAGTTGGTTAGACGGTTGCTGCACAGGTAGTAATTAATATGTCTTAAAAAGTAAGAGGTATAAGAGTTTTGAGTACTGGCGCAAATTAAGTCATAATCTACTGAGTAGAGTGTAATGGGTAGTGGTACGATTAGGGATAAGGGCAGGTTGAATGGACTTGAGGAAAATTGTTGGTTGGCTAGACTTTATTATTGCTAAGTTTTCATGACCACTTTTCATATGGCATGCTTTAGACATTACAAAGTATCGGTTTGCTTATATTATGGAGAAACTATTACAGCTACTTTGGGTTTATACGTCCAGGATAATTATAGATAGTCTTATAACTTTTTAAACCCGTCTGATGCGATATTGATAGGATCTCTAATACGCTGAGTAACCGAACCTTAGGTCAAGCCGTGTCGGAAACATTGGGTTGGTTTTACCACGTTTCAGATGCGGTGCGGTGACTGGAGCAAATAAATTTCCTCAAATTGGGGGTATTGCACTGGGGTCTGTAGTACTAAAGTTAGTTGAACAACCTATATGGGTAAAGTATGGATAAGTAGACCGAAGCACTTTTGTTGATAGGAACTCATTAAGGAGGCTTTAGAATTCAGTAGGAGATTGGCAACTACCTACAGTAAGTGGAAGTTCGTTCCATTATGCACTGTACTGTACTTTGAAGAAACGTGAACACAGTTTCCTCCGGTACCGGATTACATATAGAGTATTTTCATGATTCATAAGAGTACATATGGTTGTGATGTTGAAAGCTATTGGATTACAGCTTTCGATGACGCCGTGTGAAAGGCGAAAGAGGAATGTTAGGTTGAGTGAGTTTCAGGCGCCTTAACCAAAGTGTCTGAAGTCCGTATTTTTCGCACCTATCCACGTAAGTCAGTCCTTCATGATTGTGTAATTGGCGTTATGTAGAGCTTCGCTGAATATTTTCAACACGAACCCTATCATACCGATGTATAAAACCGAAGACGATTGTGCAGTATTCAAGTACTGGACGAACCATGACTTTGCATGAAAGGACTTTAGCCTCAGTTGTGTATATTTTTCGGTGTAACAAGCCTGTGAGTCTTTAGCTTTTAGAAACAACTGATTTTGCGTACTGACTGAATGTTGAGTTTTATGAGTAGGTAACTCCCAGGCCTTTTATGGAATTGATGGTTTGAAGAAAAGAGTCACCTAGGTGTAACCTGAAATTCGGATGGGAGTTATTGAAGTATAGGACACCACATTTATCAGAATTGAATGGCAGTTGCCAGTCATTGCTCCAGTTATGTAACCTATCCAGATCATCTTGAATATGTGTGAATCCCTCTTTCACAGTAGAACAGGGGAAGCTGCATACAATCATCAAGTCGTAAGCAAGGAGGTATGGGGTACCATGCTTGATTACACTGCAGATGTCGTTAATGTAAATTACGAAAAGCGGTCGACCTAGTGCACTGCCCTGAATCACACCACTTCGTATGGGTCTGGATGACGAGTAATTATTTGCGAATTTCACAACTCGGGAACGGTCTTCCAAGAGAGAATCGAGCCAGGATAACAAGGGGTTCTGAATCCGTACGACTTTAACTTAACAATTAGTCTCTTGTTTGGGACTTTATCAAAGGCTATTTTGAAGTCAAAGAAGACAGTTGTGACAAGCGAGCCATGATCACGATTAGCAGTAACATCAGCAGAGTAGTCAAGTAGGCAGGTGGAGCATGATCGACTTTTCAAAGAGCCGTGTTGTTCTGGAGTGCATATCTCCAGGAAACTTCGTCCTGTAGCCAGTGGTCACTATTAAGCATCAGACTAATTTCCAAGGCTTCATTTGCAGGGATTCCATTTGCTTCAAGTTTAGCAGGAGTTAGAATTCATGGCCAGCCATTGAATTTCGTCCCAGTGGCTTAATGACCGACAATCTCACCTCGTAACCTTAAGATCCTGGATTACATCCCCAATGTGATCATAGGTGACTTGCAAAGAAGGACGACACAGCTGTCCAGTGCTCCCTGATTTTCAGTGACACTAGTCTGTGATCGAACTTGGAACCAATCAAATCCCTATGTACTAATACTTGGACATTGCATATCTGTTGAAAGTTTTACTGATATATGCTCGTCATCTTAAAATCGAAATATTTCCACAGAAAGACTCAGTATTTCTAGCTAGAAAGTTGTTATCTTCATTGGTAAGTGTTCCGGAGGCACGCTATGCTAATATGATTTTCATGAAGTAAACGATAGACGTTTTGTAAAGTGGAATATAATACAATGTAATGAATGCTTACTGAAGCTGGAGAAATAAGCTAGTCTTCGAAGGGTTGGGAACCCTGGACTAGCTAACCCAGAAATCAGTTAGCCAGGCCACGAAATATCTAGCTGCTCACTAGGTTCTAATTTCCTTGTATACCCTGACGTCTTACATGCATGGTGACTAATGTTTGTATTTATCTTGAAACATCATCTGTTTAATCAAAATGAGTTGGTTTGTGAGGATTAGACATGTTCCTGCGAGTTTGACCACAAATTGACATCAGTTAGAGAACCATTGAAAACCTGCGAGTAGTGGATAGCTGTTACACACTGATTCGGAAATCGTCGTTAGTACGCACTCACTAGAGTTGGAACTCAGGACCTTACGGTTACAAGGCAAGCTCGTATACCGTTTAGCCAGTCGGATCCGATTCAATGGCCAGTGCATGAATTCTAACTTCTACCAATTCGTGATTTAGCGCGACCCCAACCATTGTCGTAGATGGGAAATCCATCCTCACATGTGACATCTGGTTGGACCTCACTGGTCACGACTTCTCACTAGAACTCCAGGAAACTCCATCCTGTAGCAAGTCACTAGCGAGCATCTAATCTATGCTAATCTAGTTCATAAGAATTTGTTAGTCTACATTTTGAGTGGCTTCTAAGAGGATTTAATACCGCGGTCAAATATTTAGACGATTCATAAGTAGGTGTATCTCTAAAGTCAGCTATAGTTCTAATCGGGTATCCTGAGTTATGAACTTTGACAACACCACACATCCTACTGGGGTTATTAGTTTTCAGCACTAAATTAAACCCTTTAGACTCACCTAGAAACGGCTTCATTTCGCGTATGAAGTCCGCTGCTGATTTCTTAACCTTATTCACGACGGTGTCTCTTGATTCGTTAACTGCCTAATACGGTGCTGTTTGTATGTGAGTATTCACCTTACCCAAATAGTCTGATTTGTCTGATACTACTGTGTCATCTGCTCTGTCTCATTTAGTGATTAATGTGTCCTTCTTATTCTTGAGGTGTTTTAGGGCTCCTATCTCTGGTTTCGTCAGGTTAGGCTTTCCTCTTTCTTGTTGTTTTAATGTCAGTGCACATTGTGCTCGCACTTCATCGGCCGGTGTTTCGTCTATCCCACATAGTGCTATTTCTATTTTACGGATGACATCCTCAGGTTTCAGCTTGTCTACCAGTACATTGAAATTTAGTCGCATTCCTAATACACTTATTTCTGTGGGGATCAACACATGTGTTCGCAGATTCATAACCAACTTTGTTTTATCCATCGCAGTTGACTTAAGACGGCTGATCTCATAGTTCTCAGATGGAGACTACTCCACCGACAGTTAATTGCATATATTCATTTGAATATATATATATATATATATATACATTCATGTATATATCTGTACATGTATACATATATTGACATTGAAACCGATAATTGGGGTTCCGATCATCCGACACTATGTCACTGGAAATAGGATTCGTGGAGTGTTTGACCAATAGGACACAAGAACTAAGCAGTATCAAGGAAAATCTAAGACAGGAAGTGAGGCACATAAGAGACGCTTTGAAACTTGACAATTACCCTGACAAATCAATCAGGAAGTGTGGAGGAAAACGTAAAAGTAAAATAAATAATAATAATAATAGTAGTGATGCTGATAATAATAATAATAATGACTGTGATAGTTTTAAGAAGAAGACGAAGAAGAAGCGGAACCACAATAGTATTCACGACGAAATGCATTTCAAACATGCACAGGATAATGACAACACCAAGAACACAAATACAATACAAATCATCAGTAGTACTTCCATACAGAGAAGGAACCTCGGAAGCCTTACGGAGAATTCCTAACAATGAAA